GGGTTTTTGAAATAATTAATTGACATGGACCCACACTAGAGATAAGAGAAAGATAGAAATTATACCATCTAAGGTTAACCACAAGGGTGGTAGCGTGGTGGATAAAGATAACAGGATAATAAAATCAACTTGTATTCGAATCATGCTATCTATATACGCGTTTGTAGTCACTGGGAGATTTGCCTCAGGGCGACTTGCTTTGGGATTAATCACCAATTTCCAAATATCTAAGGGTTTATGAATTTGAAAGCTGAAAGTTAAGATGGTGGTAGTTTTTCAGAGATGCAATCGAAGAATCCTTTATGATGATTAGGGAAAAGTTGACACTTGATGTACATTAGATATCCACTATTTAAGCATGATGCCAATGATCTGAGGCCTAGATAGATATAGAAAACCTTTTTAGATATGTAAAGCAAAGACACCTCATATTTGCACCAAATGACACTGACTTTAGAACAGAACAACAATCAAAAAGAAGTTCAAATCTAGGATATGAGCCACTAGTTGTGTCATCTTCTAGCCATTTGGATTGTGGGTGGTGCTTGTCAAAATCGACAACAATTCCATCCCTGTTCGTGTTTCTTATCGAAGGCATACATGGCCGAAAGAAGAACTCGGTGGATGAATCAATATATATATATATATATATATATCACTTTCAATAAGTTTAAAAGATATTTTTCCAATTCCTTTTACCAGTTATGCCCGTTTCATTTTACGTAAAACGAGCAAAACTCAACTTTTAGGTTATTTTACACTGTTATTAATTTTACATGTTATCAGCGAATGTTTGAATCAGTGTTGTCTGTATTTTGCGAATGTAAACGCAGTGTAAATTCGTCGGTGTTTTAAAATAAAGGAAAAAAAGGGTAATGATAAGAATAAGAATAGTGAGGAAAGAAGGCATATGTTGATAATTAAAGGCATGATTGTGTAGCTCCTTTTGAGTAACATAAGAAGCCTCAATAGTTGTCTAATAAAAGTAAAACACTAAAACCCATGCGGAATATTATTAATCCTTTTCCCTAATGTTGTTCTCCAACTCTCCAACATCCAAATTCATCCTCCTCCTCTTTGTCTAATTTTTATTTTACAAATCATTTCAACGAAAATTTAATGTTGTTATTAATCATGTTTTAGATATTTTATCTGTAATTATACATTTGTTTTTTCTCAAACGTTGTTTTGTTGATGTGTCGAAGCTGAATCTACATGTTTTTTTATTGACTAATAGTTAAGCAACATGAAGGACGCGTTTCTTATGGGGCCTTGGAAACCCCACTGGTTGATTGATTGAATTCATAGAAAATATCAGTATATATTTAAAAGGTTATTATATTATCATCCATTTTTGAGTAAATGTATTTATTTTAAAGATTGTAGATGTTTTGATAGAATTAAATAAAAATAATATCGTTGATTTGAAGTTGGTGGACTGCTAATAACTTTTATGAAGATCGTTAGGTGATGATTATTGGGCTTTTGATGTCCCTTGTTGAATAAGTGGTTCTTATTCAGTAAGAGACAACGGTGTTCATCTTTGTATCTTAGGTAGTGTTTGGTACGCATACGTGACTGGATAAGACAGAACTGGATAGAACTGAACACGACAAGAGGGTAGAACTAGATAGGACTTGACAGAATAAGTATCTATCTGGTGTTTGTTACGACTAGGACTCGACATGACAGAACTAGATAAGTTGCCCCAAAAAGTTATTTTATGATTATATATCATATAATATTTATAATTAACACAAATAAAATAGCCATTGGTAGTTGTACCCAGTGGTGGTGGTGGTGGTAGGCAATTGCAGTGGTAGCCGATGGTGGTGGTTATGATGGAGGAGGTTGTTGTAGTAGAGGAGAAGGTGGATGTGGCTAAGGGTGGTAGTGGTGGTGATAGATGGTGGTGATCGACAGTGGTTGCAGAGGTGGTGGAAGAGGTTGTTGTAGTGGAGAAAGAGATGGAGGTCGCCAACGATGGCTACCGTGGGTGACGACTTAAACAAATATAATATTAAGGTTAGATATCAAACGAGGGTTAATTAGTAAGAATTTAATTTCTGTCTCATTCTTGTCTCATCTTGTTCCACCTATTTTGGTGGGTTAAGAAAAACATTTTTTATTCCACGCTGTCCCATCTTGTTCCAGTTCTTGTCTCTGTCCCATGTCGCACCAAATGTGGGACAGTGAATTCTTGTCTTATCCTATGTTGCGCTAACACATGGGACAATGAGTTTTATCCTGTCCTGATCTTTCCTATCTCATGTACCAAACGCAACCTTAATGCTCTTATTCCCTCTTATTCGGCCAACACATTAGGCAAAGCTTGTTACTCATTCAACTTTTAATATAAAAAATACTGAGTACCCTCTTAGCTAGTCTTTTACTTTATGTTTATAACAATGAAACATAACAAAATGCACAAATTATATTTTAACTGAATACAAGTTATGGAAAAAATTGCAAGATATATACAGACTTTTCCTCTATCTCAAAACGTAATTTGTATCCATAAACATCTCTTGCAAAAATTAGGAAAGCTTAGTTTATGTTCGAAACAAAAGAAAACAAAAATATAAACCGTTACACGTCATGTTTAAGAGATCATAATGTGATTAGCACATTTCTAATGAAATCTTAAGGTATTTGACAATGACATTTCTACATGTTGTTATAGTGATTTATATCTCATAATTACGATAACGACATTTTTATGGTTTTTTTTTGAAAACATCGAGTGAAAAAGAGAAGTCAAAATCTATTTTATTTTATTTAAACTTTGAAAGCTGCAACTTGTTATCAGGACATTATTGTCATTTGCTAGTTTTTTCGATCTATTTTATGGAGGATCTGATATTTTTTTTATAAAATAATTTCACAACTATTTAGATTATAAGAAAATAAACAAATATATAACATAAGATAAAAACGATATCATTTTATTATTTACGTTATTTAAAAAAACTGTGTTTCTAAATTTTGTAATTTTTATCATAATGTATTAGTAACATTGATCACGTGAGACAATGTTTTTTGAATTTAAAGATGATTTAAGTATTTAATTATGATTTTTTATTTAATTAAATGCTTTTTATTTAAAAAAGAATTGTCCTTTCTTAAAATATTTGGAGATTCATGTAAATATAAAGCATTCAACAAAGATAGAGGATTAAAAAAGTGGTGGCATGATACAATATCTTTCCACAAAATCCAACCAAAGTGAAAAAAAGAGATTCATAAAATTGTTAAAAGTGTCACGGTATCATTCTAGATGGGTATTTAAATAGATTTTTGGGTCTAATGAATCGAAACATATCAGATAAAATACTGGTCTATGATTAGATACAACATACCATTGATCTTTCATCAGATCGGATTTTATCTGGGTCAAATTAGATAAAGACCGATCTTTTTTCGAACCCTATTAAACAACGGTGAAACTTTTCCAGACCTTATTAAACAAAGGTGAAACTTGTTTAGATCGGTTCAAACTAGTCCATGTCCATTATTTACTTTGTCAAATTCTGATCGGTCTAACCATTTTGTTATAGCACACGAGTTAAAACTCAGAGAGATGTAGTGAAAATCTTAGGGGGCGATTGGTTAGTCGGATTCCGAAGAAATCTGATGGAATTGAAATGATCAATTTAGTTGACCAAATTTCATTCCTACGTTTGGTTATCTATGGAACGGAATTAAATTCCAAGCATTCCCTTAAATGTGGATTTGATCATTTCTTCATAAAAGTGATGAAATTGAAATTCATTCCAACCAGTATTTGAAAAAAATGACAAAAATACCCTCACTGAAAGATAAAACCCTAGCCACTAAACTCCTTCACGATCGAAGTCTGGACTCCATCGACAAATTATTCTGGTTACTCTCCTCCATCAATTGAAGTCCGAACTCCTTCACGATTGATTTCTTCATCTAGACTCTTTCACCGATTGATTTCTTCCTTTGTGATTCATTCATCGATCGATTTTTTCCTCCAGACTCCTTCACGATTTAGCTTTACGATTTTGTCAAAGACTTCTTCTCTGGCTTCAAAATGAACTGACTTCTTTCGATTTTATTGAAGACTCCTTCACAATTTTCTGATTTACGATTTCTTCCTGTGGGTTATGGGTATTTGATAGTGAAGATGACGATGAAAAGTTGAGGATGAAGATGATTTGAGACTATGTATTTGAAGTGAAGATGGCGATGAGAACTTGATGACAAAGATGAATTGAGACGATATTTGACAGTGACAATGAAGATGATTTGAAAACCCTAAACTTGATACATGATTTTGATTTCACCCAATTAAATTTCAACCTTATAATTATTTATAGTTATAAAAGATATCAAAAAGGGTATTTTCGTCATTTTTCATTATTCCATTCCAATTCCTTTGTAAACCAAACAGACAGATTCTAATTCCTTATCAGATTCCATTCCAATTTTTGTCAACCAAACATGTGGGGTCAAACATGACAACATTTCATTCCAATTGCTTCAAAGTCAAATTCCTTTAACAGATTCCATTCTATCCAAAAACATTATGCGAACCAAACACCTCCTTATCTTCTCCGAATTTGAATCCAAGTACTGTCAAAACGCTTGCAGCCATTTTGCACAGAGAGCAATGAATCTAGGTCATTCATGATTGCCAGGAATTAGAACCCGTCAGTACATGTAAGTTGATCATAGATATCCATGGTTACCAAACTTGAACCAATCTATGTTCTTTTGACACCGTGTCAACTAGAATTTAATGTATATGCAACTTTATTTTGCACTATCCTTTTTTTAAAGGTTATAACCTGAAAATTAAGAGTTAAACATTTGATTTGAATAGAAATAAGTATGCATGTAACTTTTAAAAACAAAATATGAAAATCTCTCTCCATTGATTACACGCTTTCTCTTTCTCTCTCTCTCTGTGCAAAATGGGAATTTGATTTTACGCCATTTTTATAATTCGAAGGTCCGTACTCTGACAACGACCACTGAAGGATGGTGGCACATGCTTCCTGTCATCTCACTCTCTATATATCAACGGTCTTGATCTCCAGGTACGGATCTCCCTACGGCTCTGATCCCATGTTCCTCCATTATCAATCTCTCAAAACTCCCCATTTCTTTTCTCTCTCTCTCTCTACTGTTCTTCAGGGAGACTACGGTCGGTCGGATGCCCTATATAACACCTCCCATGCGTCATTCCTTCTTTTCTTTTTAGTATTTTTTTATTAACTTCAATACCGATCCGAGTAAAGTAATTCATGGCGGTGTTTCAGAACAACCAGTGGTTTTCCGAGTTGGGTTAGGGTTTTCTTTGTCACTCTACTCTTTTCTCTTTTCTGGGTGTGGCTTTTTTAATTATGGGTGCAAGGTTCGGTTATGGAATAATGCATGTGAAAATTAGGTGTTTTAGAGTGAGGAAGAAGAGATTGAGCTGATAGGAAAAGAAGAGGGAAATGTTAATTCAGCAGTTGAGGGGTTTACAATTCGACGATCTTTAAGCTATACAAGCTCCAAGTTGACCCCCAAGAAGCTGCAGTGAGGATTTGTGTAGCTCATGCTTATAAAATTAAATTAAAAATACAGATATAATAAGTTAACAATTAGATAAAAATATGAAGCTTTCAACATCAGGGTCTGGTCAGCAGCCTCAAGAAGGTATCTCCTTCCAACCTTTTTTTTGTTTTTGTTTAAGTTTAAGTTTTTGACTTTTTCCAATCTGACTTTACATGTGGTGTCCTTTTCATGGATTCTTCTTACTTGTATATTGTAGACTTTCCATGTTTTGTATACATTCTTTATGTCAATGGTCGTGTGTTATTCTGTATTAATCAAGTATTTTAAGCTAAACATGATGCTGGTGGACTAATTTATTGATTGTTTGTTTATATCACTTATGAAAAAGGAGAAAAGAAATGCTTGAATTCGGAGCTATGGCATGCTTGCGCAGGCCCTCTTGTTTCGTTACCGACAGTAGGCGCTCGAGTAATCTATTTCCCTCAGGGTCATAGTGAACAGGTCCTTGTTCACTTGATTTGCAGCTTCTCATTTAATAATGTTCCCAATTTGCATTATCCCATTGTGTATATTTAACCACTAACCAATCTGATTTTCAAATGGAACCCAGGTTGCTGCCACAACAAATAAAGAAGTTGATGCTCACATACCCAATTATCCAAGCCTACCTCCCCAATTGATCTGCCAACTCCACAATGTTACAATGCATGTGGGTTGATACCCTCGAATATATGTTTCTTAGATTTTGGCTTACTTGTATGTATAATTTACAGGTTAAAAGCAGACTGATTATTTTTGCAATTTCAGGCAGATGTTGAAACGGATGAAGTGTATGCTCAAATGACATTGCAGCCGTTGACACCGGTAATCTTTGGTTAAAGTTGCAATGTGGTTTTATACACCATTAGGAAAATTGCATTACGATTGAGTCATATACTTTTGTGTAATATTCTCAGCAAGAGCAGAAGGATACTTTTCTTCCTGTTGAGTTGGGTATTCCGAGTAGACAACCAACAAATTACTTCTGCAAGACATTAACAGCTAGTGACACAAGTACCCATGGAGGATTCTCTGTCCCTAGGCGTGCTGCTGAAAAAGTTTTCCCTCCGCTGGTAATGCTGGTTCTATCCTATGCTTATACTTAGAAGGCTGGTGGATTGCTGGATCAAAATATGTTCTTTCTTTGCTCCTTCAGGATTTCTCTCAGCAGCCACCTGCACAGGAACTTATAGCAAGGGATCTCCATGATGTTGAATGGAAGTTCAGGCATATTTTCCGGGGTAGGTTTTGAAGCCCTTCTCATTATTCACAGGATACCTACTGTTTGTGGGTTGTAGAATGTCTTGCAATGTATGTTAGATTACTCTGGGACAGGAATTTCATGTTTGTTAAATAATGTATTTGGGTTATCCATATGGTTTGATGGTTTGGAGGACAAGCTTGTGGTTTGGTACCAGCATCTCAGCTTCCAGATAGTATTTATTTTGGGCCGTAATGTTGTTGGATCAGTTTTGTTCTTTGGTGCCCAGACTCTTGATAATTGTGTCGTTTGGTTGGTTCATATTTGTTTAGCATGTTAAAGTTATCAATAAAATTTCACTATTAAGAAAAAGAAGGAACAAATGGTCAATTTGATCCTGATAATCAAACATTGTCATGTTGGATACTCCTACTTATTCTTCAAGCCAACTTTGAAAAGTATACAATGTTCATAGGGATCTTATTGTTTCTCACCTATATTTCTTGTTCTTGTTTCTGTTTTTTCTTTGTGTTTCTTGTAGATTGTGAGGTTTAAAAACTTAAACTTGTCTTGGGACTGTCTCTTGGTTAAAAGTTGAAACTTTGTTGTTTCCCTGGTAGATTTCTTTAAAGATGTCCTGGTTTTAGTTGTACTTGCTTTAGCATGTGTATGAACAACGTTTCAGAAGATGTAGATATTGATATTCTTCAGGTGATGTTACATGTATTCTTCTTCATATACAGGGCAGCCCAAACGCCATCTTCTTACTACAGGGTGGAGCGTGTTTGTTAGCGCAAAGAGACTTGTTGCTGGAGATTCTGTACTTTTTATCTGGTATTTTCTAATTGATATTGCACATTGACATGCACTTGGCTAGTTCCTTCTAGAACTGCCTGACATTTTGTTCAAAATTAGGAATGAGAAAAATCAGCTCCTCCTGGGAATCCGTCGTGCTACTCGCCCACAAACTGTAATGCCATCATCTGTTCTGTCAAGTGATAGTATGCATATTGGCCTTCTCGCAGCTGCAGCTCATGCAGCTGCAACCAGTAGCTGCTTCACGATATTCTATAATCCAAGGTGCAATTGACATATATAGAAACATATACATTTTGTTATTCAATATGATCTTTGGCTTATTCTTACAAATGTAATTGCATTCAGGGCGAGCCCATCCGAGTTTGTCATACCCCTTTCAAAATATGTCAAAGCTGTGTATCACACCCGTGTTTCAGTTGGGATGCGTTTCCGTATGCTTTTTGAAACTGAAGAATCAAGCGTACGCAGGTATCGTAGCTGATTCTTATACCCATATGAACATTTGCTTAGTCATTTGACACAGCAACATACATAAACTTTATCTGAGGAGACATGATATGACATTGAATGTCATTAGCGTCAGTCGGTGTGCCACTTGCTTTTAATGCTTTGTTATTTGACCTGGGAACATTCCCATAATCCAGATACATGGGCACAATTACTGGCATTGGTGATTTAGATCCTACTCGCTGGCCCAATTCTCACTGGCGATCTGTGAAGGTAAATCCTTTTAGTTTCACTTATTTATATCAGCTTTATGGTGGCTTTATTTTCCATCTACTAGGGATCATGTAAGGTGATATTTATTGCTTTGGTTATATGATGTTAAACACAAGGATAGCTGTTCATTGCTGCTTAATCTAATAAATCGTATCCTACAAGCTAACACAATCTTTACACACGTGTCATGCTATTTACAAGAAGATCAATTAAGACATAAAACATATCGTCTTTCTGGAATTGGAAATGGTGATTACAGCTTATGAATGTTAACTTTCAAAGTATAAGATCAAAATGGTCTAAATTATTTTATTTTAAAGAAAACGTAATTAATGGTCCCAGTTGATTACATAGTTTTCGTTGTCTGGGGAAATTTAACTATAAATCTTGAATCAATGAACTTACGTAGTACAATGTTAATCAAGTTCTAGTGCATCTTTAAGTTGCTTACATTTGTGCATGTTTTGTGGGCATTTTGACTTTTGAGTTGATGCATTTTATGCATCATATTTGTTTTCCTTGCCATTTGATTTCTTGAAATGCTGGCAATACTGAATCAACTGCTAGTAGCACTAGTATGATGATTAACAGTTGACCCACAACCCTTAAATAAAATCATAGAACATGATGATTACTGGTATATAGACATTAATAGGAAACTATGCCACAGAGCGATTGGTGTGGGGAAGAGAGATTGGCATTATATGTGATAAATATCTTGTGAACTGGTGGTCTTATTTTTTGGGGGGGGGGGTCTGACATTCGTAGTGTTAACTATACGGTCCTTTTCCTTCGGAATAGGAAAGATATGTTTTTGGCTTTTTATGCCTTGAAAGACAGCAAAATTACCACTTAGTTTCATTTATCATGTCCCTAATTCCAGTTTTTAGTACTTCAATCCTGAATGCTGATTTATGTTGTGTTGTTTAACGCCCTGTATCTTTCTACATAAACCAAAGCAAAACAAATCAATCCTGTAACTTTCTATGTGAGATTGCTTATTCAACTTTAAACAAATATATGATGGTGATTGATGTTGTTGCTTCTTTCTTATTAATCCTTTATTCGATGCTTGTTATCATTCGTCAATGTGATATAAATAGTTGAAATTGAGCAATATGTGACAAATGTTGATGTGGTGGCTTCTTCCCTAAATTCCTCTAAGCGTCCGTGGCTTCAGCTTCTAATTTGAATTCTGTGGAGAGGAAATATTCAATTCTGGGTCGCCTAATAGCTAAGTTTTTACATTCCCATACTAGTTGAATTTGGAGCAATATGTGATAAAGTTTGACGCGTGTTCTTGTGTTTTTTACTTGTTTTTATGTTCCCATTGCCATAATACTTTCTTTTGTGTGGACCTGCATCTCCTGGGGTTTGAGATTTCCAATGTTTTATTTGTTTGGTCTTCTTTTTAGTTAAGTTTGGCCCCTCCACCTATTACTGCTCTTGATAAGCAATGGCCCAATTGACTATCGGTTGTAGGTTTGGTGGATTGAAGCTGTTTAAAAGGCATTATTTAAAAAAATAATTCATGCATGTTTAGATTTCTCTACAACTAATGGATGCATGATAAGAGTAACATGCTGTAGGGTATAAATTATTTACAATCTCACAAAATTGGAACAATCAATAAAGCAGAGTTCCGCGTGCTCAAATGAGGAAGAGGTAGTGGCTGAAGATTGAATTGTAGACATGGATGTGTAGTCGACATGTACCCTTGCATAAGTTACGGCCTGTTTGTTAGCAGCTTAACAAGCTTAATGGGACTCACAGCTTATTCAGTCAGCTATACATGACTGTTTGTAGTGGCTTAATGATATAGAAAGTGGCTTATTCAGCAAGCTTTATAGTTGGAGCTTAATGCAGAAAGCCAATTTTTTTTTCCAAACATGCCCCTCCCAATTAAAAAACATGCTTCTTCCATCCACGGAAAAACCCTCCCAAACAAAAACCTTGATCTATACAGACAGATTAATCCACACACGCAGCTTCATCCATACATGACTTAATGGTAAACCAACCAAACAGCCCCTTAAGGAACAACTTGTATGGTTTAGCTCCAGTTGATGATATGATAGAATAAGTGCAGAAGTGTTTGAATTTTGCAAAATCAGAGAGATATAGAAATATCGTCTAAAAGTATTGTCCAAGGTCTTGACCAAAGGGGCCACTCTAAGTAGTAAGAATCATTTTAGATGACCTAGCCTATAAGAGTACACATGATATTGTATGAACAATCCAAGGTTCTAAATGGCGTGAGGCATGGGCTGCAAGGTCAAGACTTGAACCTTGGGAGCCATGATGAGGCTACATCGTTTTTCGAGGTGTGGCTTATGGCGGCCGCCGGCAAGTATGTATATCATATACATAAATATATAATTATATATACAAATATGTTTTCTACTATTACTCAATATGGCAATGACATTAAACAATTTAAATTCATTAAGAAGAAAAATCATATACTTATATTATATATATATATGTATATATATATATATTTATATATATATATATATAGAGAGAGAGAGAGAGAGAAGATTTGGGGAGAACCCTAAGAAAAGAACCGAAGAACCCATCCAAACCGTTAGATTAGGATGGGCCAACGCATGTGGTTAGAACAATTTTTACCAATAAAAATATCTGCACTACTTGTTTTAATAAAAAATCAGCGGATTATAACAAATATTGGAGCAAAAAAAAAAATACACCAAATATATATAATATTGATATAATTTTTCATTCTTTTTATCGTGGTTCTTTGGTTCTTCGTTTTTGAGGTTCTACCCTGATCTCACCCAATATATAAATCTATACTACCTTATAAACTAGATATATCAAAAGTCTTAAAAACAATTTTTAATGCACAAAGTACTATACATTTATGCACAAAGTCTTAAAAGTCTTAAAAACAACTTATAATGCATTAAGTACTACTATTTTAAGCATTCAGTCTTAAAATCTCTTAATCTACAATTAAAATAACATATAGTACAAGTTACCAATTCACATTATTACCTTTCCTTTTCATGTTCCCAAGATACTTTTGACACCTTTCATTCATGCCTTCACCCTCTCATACCTCTATGTCTTCTCCTCATCCCCAAGGTGAGATTCAAACTCAAATTCACCATGAGTTATTAAAAGTTCTTTCATTCATCTCTCTTTCAATTGCTCTAAAACTCTCGGTCTTGCTCTCGATCTTTTGATTCTTTGCTCTTGGTGTAAATCGAACACATTTTTGGAGTCGTTTAAATATGTTGGATTTTAAATATATTGAATTTTAAATTGTCATACAATTTTTTTCATCGATAGACTGTAATTGGAACCATAACTCTTATTTATTCAAATTGTATTAATATGTAAAGACCAATTGTAACTTATATCATTGTTAAATCTTCTCTAATAAAACCAGTAAAACTTCAAAATCGTTAAAATTCACGGCTTCCGCCGCATTGCGCGGGTACACAACTAGTATATATACACACAAACATACAAAAACTGTTATATCAAATTATCAATAGTTCATAACAAACATATGTTCTACCATTCCACATGCCTATAATCTAAGACCATGTAAAAGTAGGTCATATTTAAGAACCAACAAAGGGTGATGTACAAACTCATTGCAAAAAGGTGTGTTAGATTGGATGTTTGACTTGAGGAGGTCTAAAATCTTTATCGTATGAACGAATATGTTTTGGGTTTTTGATGAAATTCTTGGTCCTTTTTAATTTAGTCGTTGTTTAACAGATTCTTTATCACATCCTTTATAAAATTTCATAGGTTTTAGGTATACAGATACAAAATGCAAATGCGTCATCAAATCCAGAATTCCAGATTTTTCTATAAGTAGAAATGGATACGGATGTATCTGAATTTATTTAACATATGCCGAATACGGACATGAATATGACATTTGAATATAATATCAGTTACAAGTTGATGCAAATTGTTAATCAAACGTGGACATGAAACAAGTGCATTCGATATTATTAACATCTGTTTATACCCATAGTTGTATGATAAGTGGTGGGTTTCATGGAATGTTAGATTGCATGATATTCTTAGATAGCTTGACTTATTATGAAAAATAAATGCTTTTGTAGTGCCTCATCGTGATAGTTCTTTTGAGAAGGTCTTGTGGTGGCAAGGATATATATATTTTGTTATCATGACGCTAGCTTAAAATTGTTTGTGATGATCATAATTGTTGTCTTTATATGTAGTGGTCCAATTATTTGATCATATTTACACGCAAGCTATGTGGGTTTGAGTTAGGGATCAAAGAAATGCCAACTGAATAAAAGATCAAATCTCAACATATCAGAATCAAGAATCAATTGACTAATGATATGAATGCCTTCTGTTATATATGTAACTGTGTTTATGTTATATAGATACATTAATTATTTACATTGGTGGTAGACATGATTATAATAGTGTACACAAAGATTATTATATCATATGTAATTAAATTTGTATTATGACTTTTTTTTGTGTAATTCGTCTGGTATACAGTCAGTTGGATATTTATTTAGTCAAGTAAATATAGCAATATCTGAGCTTGTATTCAGTTATTGTTGAACGGGCACAAATCTAAATACCAGATTATCGAATGTGGTTGTCTTAAATATTATCGAGCCCATAATCGTTGGGTAATATATATTCTGGAAACCATTAGGTCTAGTTGGAGTGGCCGATTTTACGTCTGGTTTTACTCCTGCCTCTTGTTACGTAATATATTATTTTCTGCCAATAGAATATAATATCGGTTAATTCTTTGGAAAAAACAAACACCGATTAGATGGTGCTTGATAATCTAGTAAGGTTGTAAACAAGACGCGGCCGGCTAATGCAAAGCCTACTATCCAACTATTTAAATATAACAACTTTATCTTTAAAATTGTTTGACATGTGACGAATTGCAGACTGCACTACTTTTACGGTACTTAAGAGTTAAATATAGTACTGGTCCATGTGAGTCAGTGACTAGATCTAAGATAATAAAATTATTTCGTCCTTGCCAACAATACATAGAAGAACCAAGAAAAGAAGAAAAAAATGATATTTATTTTTAAAATGATCGTTTGTGCAATACCTTTTCGTCCAAGGTTGTTGATGAACATTGTATACAAGTCAATCTTAATAGAAAGAGGATGTTTAAATTGAAGTGCACTTGAAGTCTATGACATAAAAACCAACGAGTGTACTGATATGTTGGTGCATGTCTAAATGGAATAATTGTTGCAATATGATCAATTTGGAATATAGAACATATATGGTCACTTAATCTAGCAGAAGTTGGATCCTATTTAGTCAGTCTTTGAAAGGGGAATGAACGAATGAAGAAAAGAAGAGAGGAGGAAAGTGGTTCACCCGGAGTTTGTCTCTTAAAATTGTTATTATCTTGTTACTTGAAAGTCCTGGTCTTTATTTCGAATCTCTTATTACGCTCGCTAACAAAGAATGGCCCTCTTATTTAAAAATTACCCATCAAGATCTTAAGACTTCATTTAAAATTCTTGTTGGCTGATAATGGTGATTGTGTTGTCTTTTGGTCAAACAAATCAATCAAGTTTGAAGTTAAGTTGTATTTGTTGATCCTCATAGCAAAGTAGTTTTGTATTTTTTGATCACCTGCCATGTTCATACTTCATATTTATTTAATCTCCTTTTCTGTAGGTTGGTTGGGATGAGTCAACTGCAGGTGAAAGGCAGCCACGGGTATCACTATGGGAAATTGAACCTCTGACAACCTTTCCTATGTACCCATCATTGTTTCCCCTTCGGTTGAAACGACCTTGGTATCCTGGAGCTTCATCTTTTCAAGGTATCCCTCTTATTATATGTATTTTTCCTTTTATTATGCATATAACCAAAGTCACGAAACTTTTTGAGCTTTTGTAAGTGCATTCTTTCAATAAGTACACAATTCTTTATTTCCATCAAGTATTTTCACATGTTCTTGGGGTCTTCCTATTATAATTCAATATAAATGCCTTTTAATTAAGCTGACACTAACAGGTCCTATAACAAACCTGAATCTGGTTTACTCCAAGGCGTAGTTGTCGAACTTGACTTTCTTTAGGATGACGATAATGACTAAAAGCTTTAGGTTTAGAGTGCATTCGATTCACAATCACCAATGTGTACATGAAATTCCCCTTACCTCATACTTCAGACATGCTGTTCTCATATAGAAAACCACCGACACTTTTCTTGGATCTTTTTAGAAGGAAAGGTCATACTTCACCCGAGTCTAGCTTGGCTTGTAAGTTTGCTAAAATTGGCGCGAACTCAACTAGATTAACTTTTAATTAAGTCCTAGCTTGCATGATCCCGTTACAGCCTTAAATCATTACATTCTAGCTATACATTGGCTTTTGGCCATAAAAGGTACCCATTTTTTTGCTAGTCTTTGAGAAAAACATTTGAACCAGTGGATGTTCAAATGTTGTATACGTCAAACGTTTGAGCTAATTCGAGTTTAATTTGTTATTTTGCTTTTTCAATGTTCGTCTTGTGCTTGCAGACAGCAGAGATGATGCAGTTAATGGGATGGCATGGTTGAGAGGTGAAACTGGTGAGCAAGCACTCCACTCTCTAAATTTTCAGTCCAGTGGCATGTTTCCATGGATGCAGCAGAGGGTAGATCCGTCATTCCTCCAAAGTAATCTCAACCAGCAGTACCAAGCCGTACTGGCAGCAGGTTTGCAGAGTGTCGGAAGTGGAGATGCTCTGAAGCAGCAATTGTTGCAATTTCAGCAACCCGTCCAATATCTTCAACATTCGGGCACCCATAGCCCTCTTTTAACTCAGCAGTCGATTCCTCAGCAGTTTGTGCATGGACAAACCCAAGTGTTGGACAATTTGCCGAGATCACTGCAGCCACAAGAGGGACAACAACAACAGCATAATTCATATCCCGATACATATCTGATGCAAAATGAGCAGCTTCAAGCAAGGCAGCAATCGAGCGTTCCTTCTCCCATGTTTCCAAAGACAGATTTCATGGATTCGAACCCTAAGTTTACTTCGAATGTTGCCCCATTGATGCAAAACATGTTGGGTTCACTGTGTTCTGAAGGGAGTAGCAGCAACCTTTCAAATTTCTCAAGAACCAGTCAGCTAATGCTTAACGAGCATCAGTCGAACCAGCAATCATGGGTATCGAAGTTCGCTCAATCACAAGTCAAGACATCTTCAACTTCACCATCAGTCCTTCCATATCAAGGGAAAGATGCTGGTGTTGAACAGGAATCTTCAAGCTTGGATGCTCAGAATCATGCGCTATTTAGTGCTATTAATATCGACTCATCTGGGCTCCTGCTTCCTACAATCGATACTGATTTGTCCACCATGCCTTCAGCAGGTTCTGGGTTTCAGAACTCGCCGTACGCTGGCTACATGCAAGACTCTTCTGAGTTGTTGCACTCTGGAGGACAAGTTGACCAACCTAACCGTAACCGGACATTTGTGAAGGTGCAACCACCGAATTGGTGACACTTTTGGGTTGAAGTTTGGGTTAAGTGATATGGCAATGTTTGTGTGTATTTGCAGGTTTACAAATCGGGGTGTGTTGGGAGGTCATTGGACATCACCCGCTTCAACAGCTACCATGAGCTGCGAGAGGAGCTGGGTCAGATGTTTGGGATCGAGGGTTTGCTTGAAGACCCTCAAAGATCAGGCTGGCAGCTTGTATTCGTTGACAGGGAGAACGATGTGCTTCTCCTTGGAGACGACCCTTGGGAGTAAGTACCTCGCTGCTGCTTTCTATTGCTTATTTGGATAATTCTTGATTTGGTTTTACATAAAATTAATGCTTTCTATTGCTTATTCGGATGCTTCTTGAATTGGGGTTTCATAAAGTTGCTACTTTCTATTGCTTATTTGGATCCTTCTTGAATCGAGTTTTCATAAAATTGCATTTTTTTAGTTTATTTGGATGCTTCTTGAATTGGGGTTTCCATAAATTGCTGCTTCCTATTGCTAAATGGATATGCTTCTTGAAGGGTATTTTAGATAATTAAGTCAAGTTGTTTCCTTAAATCTTGTATCTAGCCATTGATCTCGATGTCGAACCGTCTCATGAGCAAAATCAACTGCTGCCATTTGCTCCTCGAGGGTAATTGTTTGGTTTGTTGGGTATCTTGATTTTTTCCCGTTTTACGTACTTGTTCTACTTCTCGTAAACTCTTCTTACATAACTAATGAAGTCTCAAGCACTTTAACTTTTAGAAATCTATTTTCACACTCGTAAAAAAATTCCACAAATTGGGGGTCTTTCACAATACAACCTCTCTACCCCTCGTACCCCTAGACCTTACTCTTTTTTTGACGTATATAATATTTATATACAGCAAAAGAAACTCACATACGCCTTCACCTTTGGTGAGGTTGGAACCCTTGGACCTTTAGAAAGGTTGGGTTATCAGGTATCGTTGGGCCAAAGACCTTACTTTAAGTAGGATATATTGTGTACGTTTGGTTTGGTTGACATCAAGATGTCTTTCTTGTGAGGATTTGAATTTACCCGATTCTTCTTCAATATGTCGTTATTGAACGGTTATGTAGATATTCTCTAACTGTGTATCAAAATGAAATAATGCAGCTTTCATGAGACATAAGTAACTTAGATTTCGACCATAGTTGTTCCTGATTCGTTTATTCGATTCTTTTGCAGGGCATTTGTAAATAGTGTCTGGTACATCAAGATACTTTCTCCCGAGGACGTACAACAACTCGGAAAACAAGAGGTTGAATCATTCGGCCAAAACTCAGGTGAAAGAATTGGGAACGATGGCAGAGACCACCACCTTTCTGGGCTTCCTCCATCGATGGGGTCGCTTGATTTTTGACCATAACGTTTGGTGATCTTGAAAGAAAGTGTCCATCGGGTTCTTTTTTCGCTTGTTTTGGTCTGTTTTGACCCCGACTCTTGTGCGTGTTGTACGTAGGTATGATATGTTATTATTAGCACCGTTGATGTGATGAGGATTCTCAAATTTAGAACCAATCTTGACTATGAATTGTAATTTCACCATTTTATTGTGTGTGTGTGATCTATTTTATGCTATTTTCTTCTTCTTCATTCTCTGCATATTCTTTACTTGTATGATGTGTTATTATTCCAAATTGGAACAGAGGTGGCGAAGGACCAGGGATCGATTAAGGACCGAAACCGGTCATAGCCAGTCGAGATCGCCAAACACGGCCCAGCCCTGCCCAGGGCCGATTACACCTTTCTGGAAAATTTCAGGTCCAGCCCGGCCTGGGAATGCTATGCATACGGACCGGGGTTTTAAAGTAAATGTAATATTTAAAGAGTTTTACGAAATGTAGTACAAGTTTTTCAAGATTGTGTCTTCAACCATAAACATTCCTAAAGTAGTTCTGATAAATTGTTGAAACAAAAAATAATTCCAATAAGAAAGATGAAACCAAATAAAGATTTATTCTTTATAAAATTTAATTATATTATAGCAAAAAAGGTTAAGCCTTTTAGAATTTAGACCCACCAAAACCTCAATACGTGCCAATTCATACAGATTGAATCTATCATTCTCGATAGATTCAACAAAAGAAAGAGGTAGAAGCAGAGTGTTCATTTAGTGAACGGGAAATTTAAATACAATGCGAAAATTATAAAACCAACCTGTTTAATATTCTGTCGATTCAGATGATAAATTGCACGGAAAACCTGTCCTTTAAGGTTTTATACGACCACTCTTAACACGCTGTGAGTCTGCTAGTCGCAAAGCCCCAAGATTTGATGCAATAGGCAATTCGTTTATGAACAGCGATCACAACGAATATAGAGCATGATTTATGTAGAAAACGGTAGAGAGAAATAGAACTCGGGAGCAATATTCGTCAGAGAGGAAATCAGTATTTGTGTGTGTTTCTTGAAACGGCTTCAACCCAGCATTTATACTGGGTGAAACCCTAGATGAAACCCACGATTATCTCTTAAAATCAGAGATAATGGTGAGAAAAAATCTCAACCGAACATTATCTCTAAAACCAAGTCAAAACCGGATTAATTTCAAATTAAAAGTAATAATTATCCAAATTAAACTGATAATTCTCCTGACGAATTTCTATTAAAAAGATACTCGGAGCGAGGCTCCTTCTACTCCGATGCGGCGTGCGAAGTGCAAAGTGTGCCTCCTCGCGCCACCTTCGCGAATCCCGCGCCCGCGTCCTCGGCCATGCGGGCGCGTGTGTGTTGGGCCTTCCACTCAAGACCCCCACCATGAGTCCACCAACATGTTCAAAGCCCACTTCTAGAGAAAGCTTTATAAGCTCTAGAGATCAAGTTTCTACCAATGTGGGATGGAAGTTAACTTCCAACCTACAAATTTCCAACAATCCCCCACCAGGTTGGAAAGTTTCCTGACATTCATGGTAGACAATGTTACAGTGGTGTCACTAAGATTAAACCCTATTTAATGTAAGTATGCATGAAGGGATCAATCTAATGGTATCCTTAGGATTTAAACCTTGAATCTTGCGACCACTCCGGCTTACCTATACACATCATCTATCCACCTTGCTCTCTCATTGAGCGCTAATATGACCATGCGCTAAACCCTGTTTCATGACTTACTCAAAGAGAAACCACTACTCTTCTTTTGAGGCGACACCACCTCTAAGTTATATACGCAAAGTTCTATAACATCTTCGTTGTTAAGATGCCTCTAAACTTTGTAAAGAGATTAACTCATCATTGTTCTCGACAACGCCGTACTATCTTTCACCTTACATGGATCTATCATTTGATAGTACCTTCTATCAGTCAAGTGACTTGTTGTTACCCTTTAAACTTAGTAGATAGGAGCACTATATCCAAGTTGGGTTTCCATCACTTACTGATTCTATGTGGTTTCAGACCCATGTCTTTGGTGGCTGACCCTACCAAGTCTCTCGTCAGAGGCTTGGTTAGTGGATCTGCCAAGTTCCCACAAGACTTGACAAACACAATACTTATGGTACCATCGTCAATAAGTTGTCTCACGTAGTTGTGTCGGAGACCTATGTGTCTCGACTTCACATTATATACAACATTATATACTTTTGAAAGTGTGGCCTCACTGTCACAATACATAGGAATAGAGGGAGTCGGTCGATGCCATAAATGGATATCTGTCAACAGATCTCTAATCCATTCGGCCTCTTTGCCCGCTGCCGCTAGGGCTATGAATTCGGCTTCTATAGTCGAATGGGCGATACACGTTTGTTTCTTGCTCTCCCAAGAAATCGCCCCTCCAACAAGAGTATAAATCCACCCACTTGTGGATTTAGAATCACTTGAGTGATCTATCCAACTGGCGTCGGAATATCCCTCCAATATTCATGGATGCGTAGAGTATGTCAACTCTAGTTCTTGGGTTCTTTTCAAGTAGCCCAATACTCTGCCAATTGCTTTACAATGATCTGAACCCGGGTTGCTCGTATATTGACTCAGTCTACTCACAGCAAAAACAATATCTGGTCTAGTGCAATGCATTGCATACATCATGCATCCTATTGCACTAGCATATTCTAGTTGAGCCACTACTCTACCAATATTTTTATCGAGTTTCACACTTGAATCAAACGGAGTGTTAAACTCTTTTATATTCAAATGTTGAAACTTTGTCAGTATCTTCTCTATGTAATGAGATTGACATAGAGAGATTTGAGATGCTGACCTTTTGATCTTTATCCCAAGGATGGTATCTACTTCTTCAAGATCTTTCATCTTAAAGTTCGAGGATAAGTACCCTTTTGTCTCAAGAATACCATCTAGATTAGTTCCGATGATCAACATATCATCGACATAAAGACAGATTACCACAGTGTACCCTCTCGTGCATTTTGAGTAGATGCACCGGTCGGCCCCATTATGTCGGAACCCGAAAGATGTGACAGTCGTATCAAACCTTTCGTGCCACTGTTTAGGAGCTTGTTTTAGCCCGTATAAAGATTTAACAAGTTTACACACTTTATTCTCTTATCCGGGTATTACAAATCCTTTAGGTTGCTCCATGTAAACCTCCTCGTTTAAATAGCCATTCAAGAAAGCTATTTTCACGTCTATTTGGTGAATATACAGTCCTTTTATGGCGGAAATTGCTATGAGAGTTCGAATGGAACTAATTCTAGCAACTGGAGCATAGATGTCGAAATAATCGACACCCTCTTTCTGTCTATATCCTTTTGCCACCAATCTAGCCTTGAAGGATGATATTGAACCATCAGGGTGCATCTTTCTTTTGAATATCCACTTGGAACCAATGGGTTTCACACCTGTTGGCAAATTTGCTAGCACCCAAGTTCCATTACCCAAAATGGAGTCCATCTCATCATTTATGGCTTCTTTCGACATAGGAGCATCCCTTGAAGTTATGGCCTCTTTAAATGTCTTAGGATCCTCTTCAGTACTGATAGAGAAAATGAACTCTCTCGTCACTTTCTTTTGTGTCCCTTCTACCAAGTACGAGAAAAAGTCATTTCCCAGATTTTTCTTTTTTCTCACTCTTGTACTTCTTTGTGGTTCGTCTGCCTCTATAGAGGTTTTGGAACTAGCACGAGATGAACAAGAGGGATTAGAGGCCAATGTTGGTTCTGATTTTTCAGCATCTTCTGAAAATCTATCTTCAAAGAACTCCACATCTCTGGATTCTACTATAACTCTTGACTCTTTGTTCAATAATCAATAAGCCTTGCTATTTACTGCATATCCAACGAATATGCTCTTAATAGCACGTGCTCCCAATTTAGATCTTTTTGGATCAGGAGTTCTATAGTATGCAACACACCCAAACCCTTAGAATTCAGATTTGGTTTTCTACCTTTCCAGAGCTCATATGGACTGGTTGGAATCACACGACTAGTGATTCGGTTGTGAATATGACAAGCCGTCAACAGGGCTTCTCCCCAGAGATTGTTAGGCAACCCTGATTGGTTCAACATACAGTTGACCATTTCAACAAGGGTTCGGTTCTTTCGTTCTGCCAAGCCATTTTGTTGAGTAAATGGTGAGGTTCGTTCATGTTTGATACCATTCTCTTCACAAAATGTATCAAATTCTCTATTAAAATATTCACCACCTCTGTCTGATCAAAGTATTTTTATCCGTTTTTTCAAGTTGATTTTCTACTTCAGCTTTATAGAGTTTAAAAGTTTCAAAAGCTTCATCTTTTAAGTGTAACAAATAAACTTTTAAAAGCCGACTGAAGTCATCACAAAAAGTTATGAAATACCTTTTACCTCTTCGGGTAAGTATTCCATTTAATTCACAAATATATGAATGAATTAACTCTAAAATTGATGTGTCCCTTTTAACAGAAGGAAAAGGTTTTTTTTGTAAACTTTGATTTTACACAAGTTTCACATTTTCCAAAATCTTTGTTATCAATTTTGATTAAACCTTTGTTATGCATCTTTTCAATATTTTTTACATTTGTATGCGCAAGACGTTTATGTCATAAAGAAATAGAACAAACAGAATAATCCAAAGAAGCAAATTTATTAAAATTATCCGGGATTACATCAATTTCAACCATGGAAACATTAAAAAATTTGAATTACTATCAGACGTGGCTAACACATTACTTCCCACTGATTCACTCGTTCCGACCTCCTCACAACCATCTTCACTCAGATTAAGGCGATACATACCCAGCTGGTAGTATCCCTTTCCAATAAATGTATTCCTCTTGTAAATCACGACCTTCCTAGCCTCTTATTTATTCCAAACCCGTTTTCATCGAGTTTGCTTGCAGAGACGAGGTTCTTGTTAATGGAAGGCACGTGAAGAACATTTTGGAGAGTGACGGTCTTGCCGGAAGTGAACTTCAGTAACACGGTACCCATTCCAACGACATCCTCACGGCCGTTTTTCGCAACTATCACTTGCTTCCCATCTCTAACTGGTCCATATTCAGCAAACTTGGACCTGGAGTCACAAACATGAACAGTGGCTCCAGAGTCCAAGTACCAGCCACCTCTTGTAGCCACAATTCTCGTGGAGGCCTCAGAGATCATGTCAATTTCTTTCACGTGAAGATTCGCCACAAGGTGTTGAATCC